AAAAAAAAAAAAGAAGAGGAATCTTTCGAAGCTCAACAAGGAGAGGACGATGGAAAAAGTCACCTACAGGAACACAAAATATCCCTCCTCACAGGGGCCGAAATCAACCTGCTGTTGCAAAACCGCATGGGGAAAATGTGTCATTAGACAAAGGGAAGAAAGACCCTGAGACAAGGCAGGACGCATCTGGGAGGTGATGGGAGGCTGGTGTGGCCAAAGCAGACAGAGACAGGAGTGAGAAGCCGTTCACACTCTCTCAGGCCTTCTGCACCTTTCGGGGTCTATCTTGGGGTGGATCGCCCAGAGGAGATCTCACGGCCTTTGAAACACAAGGACCCACAGGCATGTTCTTCCTAAAGCCTGTCCTCCAGTGATGCCTCCAGCCATGCTCCTGTTCCCACACTGGCTGACAGGTGGGGTCCCCAAGGACCTGGAGAATTCAACCAGGGCTCCAGACATCTAGATTGATCTCTAGGTTTGCCAGCTCTGCTGAACATCTCCACCCCAAGCCAATGAGTCCAGAGAATCCCTCCCAATTTCTACACAAAGTTTTAAAATTTCCAAGGGGTCATTTAAGGATTTGGGATTCTGGAAAATTCCTACAGTGCTTCAGGGTTTCCAAGAGCTTCTCTCAATTCTGATGTACCAGAGACCTTCTAAGCTTCTGGACAATGACTACCCTATTTCATGGAGCCAGAGAACCGCCCCCAAATTCTAGCATCCTGAGGAAGGCCTATAGCTTTCAGGGTTCCAGAGGTGCCCTCTGGAGTCCTCAAGCTCTCAGTAAGGACCCCTGGACGTGAAGTGTCTGGACACATCACTGGGGTCCTCTGAAATTCCTCCCGGGTTTCGGGATTCTGGACAAGTGGTAGTTCTAGAGTGAGGATATTGACCGAGAGACGGATACGTGGCCTATTCGATGGGGTGCTGGACACTGGTCCCCTTGAGCCTATTTCTGGGAAAGTGAAGTGTGGGGGTTGCTGGACTAGGAGACTGGAAAACCGCGGCTGGCTCCAGCAGGAGGAGGAATCATCCAAACATGAATGAACCAGCAACAGCCAGGGTCCCCCTGGGTGGTCCCTGTCCACCCTCCCAAGGCAGCTGAGGAAGGTTCTCATGCTCAGTGCCAGGGGCCTTCCCCGCCTGGGGCTGAAGGCCTCCCAGCAAGCAGGCCCCGATGATACAGTGAGTGAGATAAGGGCTCTGGGGAGGGGAGAAACCCCGGGCTCAAACCTGCCGAGCCACCCGGGGCCGAGGTGGCACCAAAATTACCTAGAGTAGAGAAAAGTGACTTCATGGCATTAACCAGGTTCACCTTCCCGCCCCCCTTCAGGTCTCTGCATGAATGTTCCCTGCACGAGCCCCTTCCTGATACCCCTTTTTAGAACGGCACCCAGTCTGGTAGAGGGCCCTCCCGGCTATATTGTGCTCCATGGTACTGATCACCGAGTTCCCACGCATTTTTGCCCACTTTCTTGTTTCCTGTGTTCTATGAAGGTAAGGATTCTCATGCTTTGTTCAAGGCTGGCCCAAAGTGGGTTCTTGGTAGGTATTTGTTGAACGAATTTTTTTCCAAACCCAGGGTGTCCATCTCATCAAATGACCATAGTGACTGAAAGTTGCTTTCGGCTAAGTGCTCTGCAACAGGCAAAGCCTTGTGCTGTTACTCTTGCCATCTCTCAAGGGACTTAATCCCCAGGACCGTCCAGTGAGGAGGTCCTATTATCGTGTTCATTCTGCTGATAAGACAACTCGGGCTCAGGGCAGTGAAGTCATTTGCCCAGGATTACTCGTGGTTAAGTGAGGAGGCGAGATTTGAACGTGTGTGGTGCTATGCGTGAACTTAACCACGGCCCCCCCCTGCGAAGCCCGGTGGGTCTGTGGCATCTGGTTATTACCCCCCGTCCTGGACTCTGCCTCCGTGAATGCTGGCCTTCCACTAACTCTCCACTGTTGAACACCCTTAATGCCCAGTCACACGTCCTGCCTTTCATCTGGCCCCTGTGAGCTTCCTGGGCAAAGCCGGCTTATCCCTTGTCAGTCCTGTTCACCACCTTGATTTGCCTTGAGGCCAGTAGTGCTGAATGAATGAACGAATGAATGAACAAACAAAGGAAGGAATGAGCCCTGTGGGTCTCAGTTTCCCTAACTATAAAATGGATTTCCCCCTAACTGGAGCCCCTTTGCATCCTACTGAGTACTTATGCCAGGAATCCTGATACCCTTCACCTCCTAACCTGCACTTGAACTCAACAGACAAGGAGCTTCACGCCCCATCTAACTGGCTGAACACCAGAAAGCGATCCAAGGAGGGTTCAGGGTCTGCCCAAGGTCTCAGCAAGTCTGTGGCATCAGAACTCAAACCTCAGGATCCCTCCAGCACCGGCACATACACAGCCGAGTGAGCCTGAACCAGGGTCCCTCAGGCCTCCTTCGTGGAGACACTCACCATCCGATTTCCCCACATCTGCCCAGCAGCATGTAGTAGCAGCTCAATTAAAACTTGTATATGAAGGGGATGGGAACCTGGAATATTCCTGATCAGAGGGGGCACACCCCTCTGCCACGAGTCCTTGCCTCCTCCTCAGATTCCCTTGAGAACCCCTCCTCTCTGTGACCCCCCACGCGGAAGTGCCTGGCCACCCGGAGACATGACTGACCAGTCTTGGAGCGGACACCTCTCTTTATTCGTCTATTTCACCACCTGCAACCTGGTTTCTCGAAGATCCAGTCACATTTCTCACAGTCTGGGGTGGCACCCTCCCCTTGCTCCCCCAAACTGCCCCACAGCCCCACCCACAGCCCTGAGGATTTCTCCCCTGCCCAGCTCAGTCGCAGAGGGAAGCGGCAGCCATTGTTCCCATTTCACAGATGGGGAGGTTGAAACCCAGGAGCGCAGAGCCCAGACCAGGGTCACACGGGGGTCTCTGAGGTGTGTTCTGCCCTCAGCAGGGAGGGAGGACTCGGCTGGGGCTCCGTGTACCCTCGCTGGGGGGTGGCTGGCTCCGGCCGCGTCGCAGGGAGCTGCCAATCTGGTCTCTGAGGGCCTCCAGTCTCCGGGCCAGGTTTGGAACTGCAGCCCCGCCTAAGGAGCACAGTGAGACCCGAGGCCTGTGCTCCCCCGGGCCCGCCCCACCCAGACCCCTCAGTGCCCTAACACCCTTTGAGGAAGCCTCAGGCGGTCCCCCTCCCCCTCGACCAACACCACGGGCTCCTGCACGCGTGTGGACAACCAGATGGCCCTAGGAAGAGAACTCCAGTTTGGAAACTGCAAGGATCTTATGGATCGCCTCGCAGCACACACCCTGTTCCAGAAGGGGGGAGACTGAGGTCTGGACAGGGTGAGTTCTGGCCCAAGACCACCAAAAACGCTAGGGGCCCCGCCCTCTCTCTCTCCTTCACCTCTCAGCACTGGTGACGCGTCTGGAGGCCCCATGGGCAGGGGCGGTGCAGAGGGCACCACCTCCTCTCGCATCAACATCTCCGCCAGGACTCGGGTCCTAGTCCAGTCGCTATGACTCCTAGCCCGGGGTGGGTTGGGCGGTGGGAGGTGAGCCTTCGGCTCCTCAGGCGAGCCTCCTCCTCCCCCATCCCAGTGCCCAAGGGCTGGGCCCACCTCTCTCTCGGGAACTCGGCAGAGTCAGGATTGCATGGGGGTGCCCAGGGTGGGGGCTGGGCAGACAGAGCCAGGCCACCTGGGGTCTTAGGGCCAAACACCTGCAGGAAAGACCAGAGCCCGCACTGGGCGACCCTGCCTCTATGTGCTCCACCTTCCTGGTGCCATCATGGCGCCACCATCCCTGCCACACATGCCCCACGGGACACCAAGAATGTCAGGTGGGCGTCAAAGTGCAGGGTCTTGGTCACTTTCTCTGCGGGCAGTGGGCAGGCCTTGTAATGTCCTCTCTGGGGATGAGGAACTCCCTGCGGGCAGGAACCATGTCTGTTCGAATCCCATGTCATGTCTGAATCTTTGGTGCCCAGAACAGAGGCTGGCATGAAGCTAGGAGCTTAGGGGACAGGTACTGAATGAGTGAACGCGTGAGTAAGCGAACACGGAAATGAGTAACATGCGAGTGAATGAATAAGCGAGCGGGACAGTGAGTTCCTGTAAGAAGGCAGGATGGGGGCGGGCAAAGCAAACAGACTTTCTGAACCCTGGGTGGGAGCCCAAAGCCAGCCCCTCACCCCAACGATCCAGCCGGGGACCCTGGAGCTCTGGAGCCTCCCAGGCCACGGACCCCCCCCGGATCACAGTCTCCAGCTCTCCCAGCCTTCCCTCCCCCGCCTTGGCCTTTCCTACCTGTGGCAGCTGGAGCCCCCTGTGTGGGCAGGCCCAGTGGGCCAACGGTGCTCGGCACAAGGGGCACAGGTGACAGCAGGGGCAGGAGCAGAGGGGCGGCAGGGCCTGCAACAGGGCACGTCAGAGGCTTTGTGACATTCTTGCTCCTCACCCCACCGGGCCGGCCAGAGACTCACGTGGCAGGGGCGAGCTGGTGCCATCACACAGGGACACGGTGGGGCTGGGCCGGGGTTTGGCAGGTGAAGGGAGCAGGCACAGAGGAGGCGCCTGGAAAGGACGGTGGGGTCTATGCCTGCGGTCTGAAAACCAACCACGAGGCTGGTCCCCGAGTCCCCCTTTTAGCCAACACTCAGCCGTGCCAGGCACCGTTCTCAGTGCTTTACGTATGAACTCGTTCAATCCAAACTTTAAGACAACCCTACCAAGTAGGACCTATCTCAGCCCCATTTCATAGGAGAGGAAGAAGGCTGCGCAGGGAGAATAAAACAAGTCACCCAAGGTCTCACAGCCGGTAAGCGGCAGAGCCGGACTCTGAACCCAGGTGGTCCGGACCCAGAGGGCAGACTCTTGACCGCTTCACGGAGCCACCTCCTCCCACCTGCCCTGTGTCCCGAGGCCTGCCTCCAGGCTGGCAGCCGTGCTCACCGCTCCAGCTCGTGCACCTGCTGGGCCAGGACCCGCTGCTCGTCCCGGGCCTGGTCCCGGCTACTCTGCAGCTGGCTCTTTTCTTTCCTGGGAAGAGCAGGCCCCAGGAAGGTGACAGGAGGCAGAGATACCAGTAGGGGGACGGGTCAGCCCTTCTCTTTGCAGTGGAGTACAAGCCCCAGGAGAAAAGCGGGGACAGAAGGGTAGCCAAGGGCCCGGGGAGGGGGGCAGCTTGGCGGAAGCAGCATAGAAGTGAGGGGCGGGGCACAGAGTCCCCCTGGCTGAGGGGGAGCCTACCGGAGCCTCTCATTCTCCAGCATGAACTCCTGCAGCATCCCATAGAGGTTCCGCTGGGCCCAGGCCACCCGGGCCCCACTGAGCCCTGAGGCTGTCGGGGGGGAAGGGCACGGTGGCTGGATCCATGGGAGCCCCAGCCACACCCCACCCCTGCCCCTGGGGAGCTCATACCCTTGGGGTGTACTTGGCCCAGTTGGGACCGCAGGCAGCGGTTCTCCTCCTGGAGCTGCAGTATCTCCATCTCCAAACGCTGGGGTTGCTTTGCCATAGGTGACTGCCCAGAAAGAGGCCCAGAACCGCTGTTTACGGCTGTACAAGTTGTGCACTGTACAAGCGCTTACAGGGGCGGTGAGCAGAGCCTGAGATCTAGCCCATGCTTCACGTGCCAGCCTTGCATCCTGGCACAAGACGACATCCACCTGGAGGAGGCACCCTGCCCTAATCGTGTCAAAGTACCAGGAAGCTTTAGCTGTGTGCCTGGAGGGCCTGCTCTGAGCTGCAGCCTGCTCCAAATCCAACCTTAAACTCAGTTCTGTCCAGGCCTTGGCCCAGATTCTGACCCCAAACAAGACACTACGTCAGACCCCAAGTCAACTCAGACTTAATCACGGTACCAACTGGGATCCTGGCTATACCCTGAATCATATTCCAAATCAGACCACACCCCTAGACATGCCCTAATCCTGACCATGACCCCTGACCCCACCCCACCCAATCACGACCCCATCATCAGGACTCTGACTCTAATCCCAACTGTGACTCATCCCAGACTTCCCACGACACCGACTCAGGCTCCCGTTACTGCCTGATCCCCAACCATCTCCCCGACCCACACCTCTGCCCGGTCTCCCTCCATTCACCTTGGGGGCCTGTGGCCGAGTGGTGACCCGCTGAGCTCGGCTTGCATATCGCAGGGTGCTGAGAGTCTCGGGAAGGCACTGGACTGAAGGGGACACGCAGGCCACCTGGGGAGGGCTGCCGCTGAGCGTTCCTTCCTCTCTGGGACCCTCTCCCTCAGGAGCCATCCCTTCCTGCCAGCCCTTCTCGGATACCATGAGGGTGACCCCGTGTCCCCCCAGCGAGTCCGCCAGCAGCTTGGTGAGCTTGCTGTCCCGGAAGGGGATGTGGCTCTGCTTCCGCTGTGGGTCCAGTAACAGGGAGATGCAGTGACCTGGGCGGGGACAACAAGGCTAGCAAGGTTACACCCGTTGCCCAAGGCCACCCAGCTGCTTCACGCAGAGCTGGCATCTCCGCCCAGGCCTGTGTGACTTGAAAATCTCTCCTTCCCAAGATCTTGTCACTCAGTCAGACTGGCCTCTGCTACCAGACTGGGGCTCCTGAGGGCACAGATGACCCTGTCCGCCCCTGATCCCCAGTGCCACCAAAGAACCTGACCAACAGGCCTGGCACTCGGCAGGGGCTCAGGAAATATCTGACAAGTGGGCTGAATGAAGAAGAGTTCCTGAAAATCTCCCCACACATGCCACAGAGGAAGGCTGGCGTCCCAGCCCTGAAGGCTCCCAAGGCCCCGTGACCTGGGGCGGGGGTGGGAAGGTCAGTTCCCTTCCCCTCACTGGGCCTCAGTCTTCCCAACTGCACATGGGACAGGCTGACTGTCTGAGGGCTCATACTCTGCACCTGAGTGTTTCTACCTCCCCAGTTAAAATGTGCCTTTACAGACCCTCAGGGTTTACAGACTCATGAATAAAGTGCTAAGAGGGAAGGCTCCAGTCAATAGCAAGCAGAGGCCAGGAGGAGGCGTGTGGCTCCTGGGTCACAGCTCCTGACTCTCCCCTACTACGCCTCCCCTACGCCTCCCCTGGCTTCCCCCACTGTGGACAGTTCTGGGTCCGGCTCAGAGGAGGGACTCAGGAAGTCAGTCCAGCTGGCCCCAGGCCTCACCCAGGGCCAGCAGGCTGCGATTGATGCTGTTTGCCTCAAGCATCAGCTCCCCACGGGATCCCGTGGCCGCCACCTTCTCACTGCCGGCCAGGTCTACAAAGCACAGCTTCCCACCAACGGGGGGCTCCCCAGGGTCCACTGGAGGCATCTGTGGGGTAGGAGGATCAGGGTCGATGGGGACTTGGGAGGGGCTGTCCCCATCAGAGTCACAAAGCCAAGGATTTCCACTATTATCTCCTGCACACACCCCGGCTGGTTTATACACCCGGCGGCAGACCCTTGCCGGGTGGTCCTGGGCCAGCTCCTTCCCCCAGTGGGGACACTCACGGTTTGGCGGCTGATGTAGAGCGTGAGCAGGGCATGGCTTCGGCTGGAGGCCTGGTTCAGGCTGTGAGCTGAGCTCCGTCGACGGCTAAGACCTAGAGGGGGAAAACAGCAGGAGCTGGACCTGGTAGGAGGAGCAGGTGGTCACCAATAAAGAAAAAGCAGTGAGGACATCCTGGGAGAGGGGCCAGCCCATGCAAAGGCACAGAGGCCTGCCTCCAGCACGGACAGGTGAAAGAAAGATGGAGAGAACTGAGGGGAAGAACGTCCATCAGGTTCACATTTTATAAACATCTCTTCTGTTGCTGTGTGGAGGGAGGGAGAGAGACTCAGGCAGAAAGATCAGCTACCAGGCATGGTACAACTCTGGGGCCAGAACCCAGAGTCCCGGTGTCCCCACAGCCTGCCACAGGGTAGGTGCTCAATAAATATTTGATGAATAAATGAACGAGGCTGGAACAGAAGGGCACCACAGGCTAGCCTAAGAGGTATGACCTTTACCTTCAACAAGCTGGAAGGGTCTGGAGGTCCGAAGGGGGCAGAGGGATGTGGTTTGCTGTGTGGAGGGGAAGAGATTGGAAGGGGAGAGCCTTGAGGTGGGGAGACCTCTTCAAGGGGCAAAAATGGGGCTTGACAGAGGCAGAGACTCTGGGCTGGAGAGGAGACCATGACCCGGACTCCGCTCTACCCAATCATGACCCCATCATCAGGATTCTAAGAGTTCACACAGCAGTCGGACAGCAGAATCTCCAGGCCTGGGGTGGGGCCGGGGTCCATCCCTGGGCTGTGTCTGAATTGTGGTCTGCTGACCCTTTTCCCCCACTAGGGTCCTCTCAGCCCACAGCTCCGGCCAGGGGCTCCGAGTGCACCATCAGTGAACAGCTGAGGAACCGGCGCCCCCACACCCCAAAGCGCCCCCGAAGCAGCACACACCCATTTGCATCAGTTCCATCAGGGCCCCCAGACTCCCGAACTCCACCACTCGCAGCTGCTCCACATAGAAGCCCTGGGTCTTGTTCCAGCGAACAGGGAGAGGCCGGGGAGCTCCCAGGCTCAGTAGGTCTCGAACCTGAGAGGAGGGTGGCCGGTGAGGGCAGGGGCCCTGCGCCCGTGCTCCATCAACCCCTAGACCTTACCGACACAGTCCCCCAGCCTCTTCTGTCCCTTGACCCCAGCTCCTTGGAGAGAAATAGTTCTTTTACTTGGAGGGCTGTCTATTCAATCTCAGTCCCCCACCTGCTCATTGTAGATCTCCAAATAGGAGGCGCGGAGGGTGACAGGGGCTCCCAGGTGCCGCACCCGGTCTAACAGCCAAGCGAAGGTCCTCTGCATGATGCCGGCTAGGTTGGGGGGTACGGGCACCCCCTCGCCCTGGGAGCAGAAACAGCTGAGCCAGGGGGTGGGTCACGATCATCCCGGCACACCCACACAAAACCAGTCATAACTACCCTTTGTGGAGGACGGCCCTACTCTGCGCCAGGAACCAAGTTCCCGTAGAATATCGAATCAGAACGATTCGCCTCCGTCTACAGATGAAGAAAACTGAGAGCTACTAAGTAAGGAGGACAAAAGTAGCTCCGCATCGGGCAAGCGCCTTCTACCTCTCCGGTCCTCGGTTTCCTTGTCTGCAAATAAAGGGGGCTGGGCCGCACGAAGGCCCTTCCCCCTGGAAGTCCACACCGTCTGCGAGACCCCCATCCCCGACCCTCGGGGGCTCCATCTGCGCTCGGCCCACCTGCGGAGGAGGCCCGGTCAGGGTGTAGGTCTTCCCGGAGCCGGTCTGGCCGAAGGTGAAGACAGTGCAGGAGAAGCTGCGGGCGGCAGAGGCGCGGCTGGACCCCGGCGG